TGGTATATGAACCTTGAACCCGTTTAAAGTTCATGTCGTCCTTATTGAAGTCCAAGATTGACTTTGGAGCATGAGTATTGGGAGGGTGAGGAAGCACAAGATGGCTGTGATTGGTGTTCCTATCCCCGCTTAATGTAGTGCCTTAACAATTAGAATAGGGTTTTGGGGTATAGTATAGTATAGTATAGCATAGTATAGTATAGTATAGTATAGTATAGTTATAGCAAGGAACCCCCAAAATGGTATAGGTCATTAATTAGTTAGGCCCCTAAGTTACGCCCCATACCCCAAACCCTATTCCAAGTGTCACGGCCCAGACATGCAGGACTGGCAATGAGGGCATCTGGGGACAAATTGAGAACCTGTCAACAAACCGATTCCCACAGCGTGCCGCTATCAACAACTATCCGGAGTAGAACACCCTAAGCCCTAAACCCTAAACCCTAAATCCCTAAACCCTGAGGCTTAAACCCTAAACCCCAAACGGTTTAGCGTGTAGGGTTTAGGCCCGGAATATCCACCCTCCCATACACTGGTCCAGTTGTTCGGGCCATTCCCTAAACCCTAAAACAGACCTTACAGCCTTCCTAAACCGTAGTCCTTAAGCCACTACAACCTACTTTTTCTGCAGGGTCCCGATAGATTCCAGACTAGGGTTTATAATGAGAACACTGAGAACCTCCATACCCTAAACGCTAAACCCTAAACCGCAAAAGTTTAAGGAAGTCTTATGTTAACCTCAACTCCTTGCCCAAAGGGTCCAAAGTACCTATATAGTAGAGTGTAGGGTTTCTATGTTGGAAACAAACTTTATGATTTAGAAAAATCTCTCCCCCCATAACAGTACCTCGCGCCATTTGGCTATCAAATATGGAGCATTAATACTGGGAGGGTGCGGGAGCGCAAAATGGGTCTGATTGGTATTATATCCCGTGTAGGCCCCATACCCCCTAGCCCAACTGTCAGTACCTGATGCAGGGGCCTAAATGTTTACCAACACCTTTTTGGGGGCTCCTCATTACAATTATAGCATACTGGGCCCCAGAACCCTATACTTAAGGCCGCTATATTACAACCATTTGGGTTCTTTGCCTAGGACCATTTAACCCTAAACCCTAAACTCCCTAAACCCTGAACCCTAAACTCCCTAAACCCTAAACTCCCTAAACCGCCTAAACCCTAAACCCTAAACTCCCTAAACCCCCTAAACCCTAAACCCTGAACCCTAAACCCTGAACCCTAAACCCTATGGTTTCTTAAGCCGAAGTCTTCCTGCCTTGACTGTCGCTTTCGCCTGCATTGGTGCAAGGCTCAGGACGCTTTTTGGTTTCTAGGGCTTGGGGGGTTCCTTTAGAAGGGCTCCATTATAAAGGTTCCTTCTATGGGCTTACGGTTTCAAGCTTGCGGCTTTACGGGTTTAGGGGCTTAGGCCCTAAACCCTAAACCCTAAACCCTAAAGTTTAGGGCTTGGGCGTTAGGGTTTTTTGGGGGCTCGGAACCCGAAACCCTGAACCCTTGAATCCCAGATCCCTTAAAGTAAAAGAACCCGAAAAGGAGCCCCTGAAGTGTTGCTGGTACTAACACCCTAAACCCCTAAACCCTCAACCCTAAACCCTAACCCCCTAAACCCTGAACCCTAAACCCAAACCCCTAAACCCTAAACCCTAAATCCTAAACTCCTAAACCCCTGAACCCTGAACCCTGAATCCTAAACCCTAAACCCCTAAACCCTAAACCCTAAACCCTAAACTCGAAAACCCTAAACTCTTAAGCCTAAACCCTAAACCCCTAAAGCCTTAGCCTACTCTCCTTCTCGGCCTTCGTTTTTGCTTTTGGCCTTGGCTTGGCTTTGACCTGGCAGTCTTTAGGGCTCAGGGTTTAGGGTTGACGATCGAAGGATCGGCTCAGGCTTTCTGAGAGCTTGTGTGTTGAGCTTTTGATGGTTTTGTTCGTATTTCTACATACAACGATACATAGATACATTGATAGATATATACATAGATACTTACATACATACCTACATACATAGCTAACTATCTACATACATACTTACATAGATACATAGATACATAGATACCTACATACATACACATACATACATACATACATACATACATACATACATACATACAGTTACATACAGTTACATACAGTTACATACAGTTACATACAGTTACATACAGTTACATACAGTTACATACATACATACATACA